TCCTCCTGACTTCAGGGCCAGTGCTCTATCCACTGTGCCACCTAACTGCCCCAAATGCTCTCTCTTTCAACTCTGATTACTGACCTCCCTGGCTTCCTTTAAGTCCCACCTAAAATCCTATCTCTTACAGGGAGTCTTTCCCAGTGCCTTCTCTTTGTTAATTATTTCCCATTTATCCTTTATATAGCTGGTTTGTATATATTTATTTGCCTGTTGTCACTCCTCTCCCTCCCCTTCCCCATTGGATTGTAAACTCTCTGAGGGTAAGGACTGTCTTTTGCCTCTTTTTGTGCCTGCCAAGTAGTAGATGCTTAACAAATGTTGATTGAATTGAATTGTATTGCTGAACTCTTTCCCCAGCTTTAAAAAATCTTTACTTGAACTGAGTCTGCTATCCCCACAAGTTATCTATGTCTTTTCTCCTTTTAAATTCCAGCCTGTATACTCACTTCTTTGACTTTTTTACCACCCACTCCTCATCTCTTTCCAATATAGCTTAATGCCTATGAGACTTCTATTTTGAAATATCTGGTGGGCAGTCTCACAGTCAACATGACTAAAACCAAACTCTCTATTTTCCCTCCACTTAAATAAATTTACCACCTTCTTCCAAACTTGCTTGCTTCTTTTTGTAGGTACCACCATCCTCCCAATAACCCAGGTTAAACCCTTGATGCTGTCCCTGACTTTTTCCTCTGCCTTCACCTGTTTGTGTCATCAGTTGCCAAGTCCCATTGTTCCTCTCCAGCATCTAGCTCATCCATCCTCTACTCACTCTACTACCCTACTTTAGACTTTTGGCACCTCTCACACACTCTCCTAATTGATCTTCCTGACCCAGTCTTTCATTCTTCTATTGAGTCCATCTTCTATCTGTCTAGCTGCCAAAATAATGTGGTACATGTCTAATAATGTCAGCCTGCTTCTCAAAAACCTTCAGTGGCTTGTTTTTGCTTCTAGGATGAAAAACAGAGTCCTTAGTCAGGCCAGCTGTTAAGTACTCATACTCACTGTGTTCTAGGCACTGTGCTAACTGTTTAGGATACAAACACTAACAAAAAGAAAGGCAATTCCTGCCCTCAAGGAGCTTACTTTATAATGAGGGAATACCACCCAAAAAAGGAGCCAGAAAGCTGGAGGGAGTTGTAGCTGGGAGGATGAGAAAGCCCCAGGTGCTTAGCCTGGCACCTAAGGCCCTACCCAGCCTTACTCTATTCTAGCCTTGGTTCACATTTATTCCTCTTCACACATTCTGCATTTCTAATTGTTTATGGCTTCTTTACAACCTCTTCATTTCTTCAAAGGATCAGCTTAGATGCCATTTTCCTTTATGTAGCCTTCCTTGATTGCCCCAGCTGTTAAGAGTTCTTTCCTTTCTCCAAATACTCCTAGAGCATTGTCTCATGCTATTTTTTTTTTTTTTTTTGGTCCAGGGAAAACTATGGCAGCAAATCCAAGCAAATTAACCTTAAGAGAAGGTGGTAAATTTATTTAATCATAAATTTGTGTCAAAAGTGAGTGCAAGGGGAAGCTAGATGGTGCAGTGGATAGAGTACCGGCCCTAAAGTCAGGAGGACCTGCGTTCAAATCCAGTCTCAGACCAGACAGTTGATACTTACTAGCTGTGTGACCCTGGGCAAGTCACTTAACCCCATTGCCTAGCCCCCCCCCAAAAAAAAGTGAGTGCAAAGAGCAAGTTTAAAAAGTGTAGTTTTAATGAGACTGTCCAAAAGTAATATCATTTTAAAAAATAAATTTATAATCCATCCACCAAATTCTGCACTAGATGTAGTAGGAAGATAATGTTCACAGCAGGAAATGTAACATCATTTTACGTATTCAGTTTTCAAAAAGTAATTACCATCAACTCTCCAGTTTCTAGTGCTTTGTCAAAGAAAGTTCTTATGAAAGATAATTCTATTAAAAATGGAGTTAATGATGAAGGAAGCTATAATTGTGTTTGATGGTGTGCTGTGCAGTCAACATTTCCAGATCTTTAGATTGTGCCTTTAAGCCAATTTCTACATTAGGTAAACTCAAATTTACATCATACAAATAAAAAGGGAAGCAATTGTGAGAAGTGTCTTTGTACCAGAAGCTCAATATTTTGCAATAAAAATTAGATTAAATTTCATGTGTCACTGTTATTATAGTATTAATAGAACTTAAAAGCTGTTTCTCTGTAGATATTTTTTAATTAATTTATTTTGATTTATCAACAATCACTTCCATATGCTTTTGAGTTTAAAATTTTTCTCCCCCTTCCCAAGACGGCGCACAATCTGATATAGGCTATACATATACTTTCCTATTAAACATATTTTCACATTAGTGATGTTGTAAGTAAAAATTAGAACCAATAGGAGGAACCACCAGAAAGAGGAAACAAAACTCAACAGAAGAAGAAAAAAAATAGTAAATAGTATGCTTC